GTTGAAATTCTTAAGTCTTAAGTCTTACTGCTTAAGTTTTTTTATGTGCTCGGGCCCTAAAGCCTATCACACACAAATTGGCATAGCTGCATATGCATAGCATAAGACCGTCTGGACCAATGAGCATGCTATGTGAATCAATATGGCGATTTTATTTCGATGCTTATTGGTCCAGATGGTCTTATGCTATGCATATGCAGCTATGCCAATTTGTGTGTGATAGGCTTTAGGGCCCGAGCTCAGACTTTTGCATAAGCGCATAACCATAAGCATAAGGAAATTGATTTGCGCAAACATAAAGAATGTTATAAAACAAAAGGAGTATACGCACCGTACTTTATGGAATCATAAAATACATATAATAATAATTTGTTAGAAATATTCTCTTCATATTTTTTGCAAATAATCATAAACTTTCAATATTATTTGAGCCTTATCCGTAAAATGAAGAATCACAATTCAATAACTTTATGATGACTAATTAAAAACAAATTATTATAAAATGTTTTCATAGGATCATCACTCAATTATCACATCCATTAATATGCCTCATTATAGCATTAGTCAAGCGATTATAAATATTTAAATATATAGGTTTAAGAAACTTATATTTTATGGAATCATAGATTATATATATAATACAATTCAGTCAGAGTAACTTTTCCTTCAATCATAGAATGCTAGAATCCAACAATTTCCAAATTAATTACCAGATTAGAAGCAAGTCGAATAGATAATTCCATAAATTAATAATTATAAGTATTAATACATATATTACCCGCATATTACTAAAGACTTTAATATTATAAGATTATTTAAGACAAAAAGAATGCGCACAAGAAATCACATCGATGACACCTGATATTGGGAGCGATAATAGTCCAGTAAAATAGTATCAAAAACACCGAATATCTACAAAACGGATAGACAAGCCAATTCTTTGAGGGTGAGTAGAAGCCCTGCCGAAAATGGTCAATTAAAACCGATTAAAACATAATCCGTTTTAATCGGTTTTAATCGGTTTAATCCGCGCCCGGATTAAAAAGTAATCGATTTTAATTCCGAACGAACTATAATCGGTTTTAATATCGCTTTCGCGGATTATTTCCAATCTAAAATCATTACATTCTAATCCATATTGTTGTCAATCCAAATAAACACGAATAATCGAATGGATATTGTGGCTGCCATAGGTCGTCACATTAAGCACAATCCGCAATACAATAGTGCGAAAAAATGTTTAACCCCTAATTGACGGCATTTTTTTGGTTGTAACTTTTTTTTCTTGACAGCTATCAAAAAATTTTTCAAACAAAAGTTGTAGCAAATATTTTTTCCTATAAAATTAAAAAAAAGAAAAAAAATTCGACCAATAGAAGTCGAGATATCCAAACTTACCCCTATTTTGAAGATGGCCGCCGACGCACAGGGAAATTTTGGCTCCGCATGCCGAAACCTAAACAATCGATAAGCACTTATTAATAATCGATAGACAATTCTTAAAAATATTATTTATCAAACCTTTCTCGGGACATCTCCACCTGATCACCCTGAGAAAGTTCTAGAGCGCACGTGGCTGCACACGGCCCGAAACCCCTTCGTTTTTCAATAGTATATGTATAAGCTGCCGATTTCGTAACTCAGGAGCTCATTCGTCATTAACAGTTATCATTCAGCAGTAGTCTTTCAGTTCATTAACAGTCATTCTTTCATTCATTCTTTTATTACGTTCTTACACTCAAACTCCAATCATTATTCAACTTCATTAGCGTGTGTTCTTTCCTCAATATCCAATTCACGCGCTCAAGTTTCCTTAATCGCAACATCCTTAATCGTCAAATAATTTTGTTCAACATTAATATTATTCATCATATTGTCAGTCTTGTGTTAGAATTTATAAGTTCAAATTGTGTGAGTTTCAAAATAAAAGACTTTGTGCATATATCTGCATACATCAATCCAGCCTATCTTATCCACGACCGAGGTTCTTGAGGACGAAAAACCGGGCTTAAAAGAGTCCAGCAGACATTGAACGAGAGAAGAATTTCTAGCAGCAATATGGTAAGTAATTACAATCATTTAAAACCCCGCATATTCTCAATTACTTGTAATTGACTGAAAACTAGCAATTTCACACATTTTCCCCATCCTCTAATAATAAAAGAAACCACTGTCAAGCATTGGCATGTTGCTGACAGTTTTCCAGTCAGTCGACCTTAATAATCTATTATCATCTTCCTGCATTCGGAACATTCGGAAAATCAGTACTATACAATACTTAGATTTTGCATAAAATTAATACTGCTGTTGTCACTCGGACATGGTCCAACCCTTGAAACCCGGTTGCCGAGTCTATGGCCGGTATTCATAGTCCGTTCTTATATTCAAGATCGTCTTAAGTACGATCTTAAGATACTATGCGGCCATTTCATTGGTTGAATGGGATCTTAAGACGACCCAAGACCACACTTAAGACGATCTTGGATATAAGAACGGACTATGAATACCGGCCTATATTGCCCTGGCGACACTCTACTCTGTCTCCCGAATTCCCATCGTTATCGAGCATCAAAATGTGCCCTGATCGACACTCTCCCATCATTACCCTATATATTCCTATCGTTATCAAGCATCGAAGTGTGGCCTGATCGACAATTTCCTTTACTCTTTATATCTTTCCATAAAAAACGACAACAGGAGAGTGATTAGAACAAAGAATATTATATTGAAAATACTATCATTCAATTCTTACTCGGATGTCGTCCAACCCCTGAAACCCGGTTGCCGAGCATACACCATTGCCCCTGGTGACACTCTACCCGTTTTTCCCTGAAATCCCATTGTTATCAAGCATTTAAGTGTGCCCTGATCGACACCAGAGAGAAGCCTGAGAGACGCCACGGCCCGGTTTTAGGTGATCCCTTAAGGGGATCCCAAAGGGTCTGTTTTACCGATAAAAACTTTATTTTGCAAAATCTTTTTGTTGATTATAGATATCCAAAAATCCTTTTCCACAATTAAAGTATACATAATAACGGAAGGCGGAGTTTAACATTTCATATGAAAAGTGGAAAAAAATGATAAAATTACAGTTTAGTTATCGGCCTGTGCCGTCAACATTTACTTAATATAAAAGATTTGTAATCTGCACGTGCCTAATCAGTAAACCCCGCACTCGGCATTTGTTATTTCACACTAGATGCAATTTGCATGTGTGTTAAAAAATATATGCCAGAGGCGATCAATTCGTGAGCTGGTTGTTATTTCACACTAGATGCAATTTGCATGTGTGTTAAAAAATATATGCCAGAGGCGATCAATTCGTGAGCTGGTTGTTATTTCACACTAGATGCAATTTGCATGTGTGTTAAAAAATATATGCCAGAGGCGATCAATTCGTGAGCTGGTTGTTATTTCACACTAGATGCAATTTGCATGTGTGTTAAAAAATATATGCCAGAGGCGATCAATTCGTGAGCTGGTTGTTATTTCACACTAGATGCAATTTGCATGTGTGTTAAAAAATATATGCCAGAGGCGATCAATTCGTGAGCTGGTTGTTATTTCACACTAGATGCAATTTGCATGTGTGTTAAAAAATATATGCCAGAGGCGATCAATTCGTGAGCTGGTTGTTATTTCACACTAGATGCAATTTGCATGTGTGTTAAAAAATATATGCCAGAGGCGATCAATTCGTGAGCTGGTTGTTATTTCACACTAGATGCAATTTGCATGTGTGTTAAAAAATATATGCCAGAGGCGATCAATTCGTGAGCTGGTTGTTATTTCACACTAGATGCAATTTGCATGTGTGTTAAAAAATATATGCCAGAGGCGATCAATTCGTGAGCTGGTTGTTATTTCACACTAGATGCAATTTGCATGTGTGTTAAAAAATATATGCCAGAGGCGATCAATTCGTGAGCTGGTTGTTATTTCACACTAGATGCGATTTGCATGTGTGTTAAAAAATATATGCCAGAGGCGATCAATTCGTGAGCTGGTTGTTATTTCACACTAGATGCGATTTGCATGTGTGTTAAAA